CCTCGCTAGAAAGGAAAGAGGAGAAGATAAAGAATATCTACATGACATGAGAGAAATTAAGAATTAAGTGGCACAAGCTTCTCGAGTTTATTTATTGGTGCAATTCATCCCTCAAGTTTTATTGTGTTCAGTTTAGTCCATCAGTTTCCATTTCTTACAAAATAAAGACATTTTTCAATTACAACTACTTCTTAATATTATAAATACAACAAAATTCTGAAAAATTATACTATCTGATATCTCTAACGAGTTAAATTATACTTATCTTTATGTAATTTTACATTTTTACTTTATAGTTATAACTCAAAAAATATTCATTATATATATATAATATATATATTCTAGTAGATACATTTATATAAAACTAAATTAAAAAATTTATTTAATACTGAATTCTGATTTATTAGCTCATTGACTATAAAATTTATTTAATCAGTGTCAATATCAACACTTAGTATTAATCTAAAAAAGTGAACAATTTCAAAAATATCTTTTTTAATTTTTAATTTTCTAAATAAGAATTTTCAATAATTCAATAGTTACAAAAAATAAGTAATGAATAATTTAATATCAATTAATAGATATATAAGTTTAAAAAATTAATTTTAATTATGGACCATCTCATTTTTTTAATAGTTTAATTAACTTTTAATCATTGTTTGTTTATGTGCTCTAAAACTTAATTTTCAATTGATATTGTCTTTTTATTTTAATTAAAATAATCTATTACATAAAATATGTTTTATGTATTATTAAATTTTATGAATATTATTAAATATTATTTTCATTATTTACATTTTTTGTAAATTTTTACAATCTCAACATTGTATAGCTGTATTAGAAAAAAATGTCACAAGAAATGTTCTTTTTTTATATGAAAGTTAATTAGTTTTTATCTTAATTAATGAAGTATAATGTGTAATTTAAGATAAAAATAAGGAGTATAATTCTTATTTTAATAATAATTTTGTATATTTGTTTGTACAATCACTTTGATTTTCCGAAATACAAAAGACAAATTTTTTATGCAAAAATTTACAATTATATTTGGTGTTTGTTGTATTTAAAATCTTACTTTAGTTTTATGCCTTGTGTAGCATGTGTATAAAATGAATTCATATTATCTATTAAATTAAAGAGAATGAATCGATTAACATTAAATATAATGTAAAAAACTTACACCACATTTTTACATCGTTGATTTGGTCAAAATCAATGGTATAGATTAATTACACCTGTCTTCTACTAATTTTCAGTAATTAATTTACATTTAAATTAACTGTAATTAATTTACACCATTAATTTTGACCCAACCGATGATGTAAGATGTGGTGTAGGTCTTTACACTTACTCTAGTATTAATTGACCCCGTCTCTAAATTAAATTAAATATAAAATTAAGTCAAGAGAAGTGCCACGTGGCATTTAATGGATAACTTCACAAATTTTATTTAGTTTTATATTTTCAACTGTAATAAATAAAACGAATTTATTGAATCTAAATTCTTATTTATTGCACATCCTTAAATAAGTCAATTTTGATTTATTACATTTTAAATACACCAGAAGTGAATTCATTATTAATTCATTGGCGTTCATTACTAAAAAGACTACATATTTTTAAAAATAAATTCCAAGTAACCAAAAAGTCTTAAATTTTTAATTAATTATTATCATTTTATATTTAATTATTTTAAAATAATTTTAAAGTTTTTTTTATAAATCACTATATTTAAACTTATAATTATTTATTTATTAATAATTACATAATAATTAAAATAAGTAATTGAAAAATGACTTTCACTGTTGGCCCCGCATTGCGAGTCTCCTGGCGCTGTCAATAAGATTTGATTGCTTAGTTTGGCAGAGAACGTGGCGCGTGAGCCGCGACACACAATATCCTCCGTGCCCGCGAATGGGGATCAGATCACCCAATTTTGTAAGAAAAAAAAAAAGCCAAATGGAATTAAATAAAGCAAAAAATGGCTGCTTTCCACGTGGCCACTACGAGGAGGTATCCGATGACTAGAGCCACTAGGCTGGTAGGCTCCCCATTGTACCGGGAGCATTTCGTATCGCGAGATAATCAAACTTGGCGACAAATTGATGAAACCGAAGATCTTTTTTTTGTCACGTCAAAAATCTCTAAGTAAAAAAAAAAATTAAGATTTTTTTCATATTTTCTATTTCGGGTATTAAAATTAATTAAGAATGTTTAGCCTTTACTAAACCGTGTTGAAAGTTCGAAATTTGTATAGGAGTATTTTGACTCTGACCATATATAATTCAAACTGTGTAGGAATAATAATTAATTTTAATTTTTAATATATTTTTTCTAAAATTTAATTGTGCAATTTCAGTCTTAAAAATTTTAAATTCTTATTTTTTTCAAAAATTTTAATTAGTGTTTATACAAAGACAAATATTATTAACTATGAAAACTATCCATTAGCAACCAAAAGCAAGAGAAGAGATGAAGAAACTTCCTCCATCCAGTCACGTAAAACTTCTAAAAAATTTAGTTTAGTAATAGCAATTAAGGGCACGTTTGGATAAATTTTTTTTTTAAAAAAGTAAGTAATTTTTTAGAAATAATTTTTCAGGGACTATTACATACTATTTCAAAGCTAATAAAAAATTATCTTTTTGAATTTTTTTTTTATTTATCTATTTACCTTGTCTACTTACTGGCTTCTCACTTACACTGCTTCTGCTAGCCAAGCAGAAGGTTGAGATCAACTGGTGGTGGCTGGGAATTTTTAAGAAATTTTGTAACATTAACAGCGCATCAAACATCACCTTGCTGCACCCAAGCCATTTGTCATTTCAATTGCTCTTCTGGCAGCAATAACCTCAACATATGGGCCAAAGAAATTTCTTGTCATCTCGCACCGCCTCCTTCCTTTTGTCCATACCTCATCAAAGTTAATTTCACAGTTTCAGTAGATAGGTCCAATGAAAAGTTTCAGAGGGTTGTGGTAGATTGAACTCTTCCTTAAAACTGCTTGAAAGTTGGCAGCATTTTTAAGGGCAAGAGAGAACTCAACCATGGGATGTGAAACTCAAAAAATCTCTCTGTCTTTACAATTTTTTAAACAATATTAAATTTAATTAGTAAAAATTTATGCAATTGTCAGGATCGTTTACCCAAGGAGCTAGTAGCTAAGTTAGGAGTGTTTAAACTGAACCAAACTGAATAAACTGACCTAAATTAAACCAAAACTGATTGAAAACTAATTAAGACTGAAAAGAAACGGTTTAATTCAGTTTAGGAAGTGGTTGAACCGATTGGTTTGGTTCAGTTTGCCTTTCGGTTTTATCCCCAATAAATGAACCAAACCGAACTGATCCACTTTGGTTTTTTATTTAATATATATTTATATATAATTTTGTACTATTTTTCATATAAATCCATTAATTTGTACTTAGTTTCAATTTTTCTCTTAAAAAATACAAGTTTAATGCCAAAACTAATTCTCATATTTGATTTTATTCTCTTTTATTTTTTTTTTTAAAAACATGTTTTTTATTTTAAAAAAAGGCAAAATCGATCAATCAACCAAACCAAACCAATATCAATCATCTCTGATTTAGTTTGGTTTTGACAAAAAAAAAAAAAACGATTATGTATAAGAAAATATAAAACTGATATGCTCAATTCATTTTGGATAACATTCACAATTGAACTGAACCGATGTACACCTTGAGCTAGGCTAAATCCCATTTAGTTTGGATGCCCAATAAATTCCAAAGCTCCTCTAGTGTGAACTCTTAAAATGAAAAGAATTATGACTTCATCTTATTTAAGAAATTTTAATCAACATAATTTTTAATTTTTTTATATGACAAACTTTGAAAAAATGGCACACTATTAAACTTGATATTAACATATTTGTTGTCATGGCAACAATAATAATTTAAAATTAATTAAATATGGATATGGTAAATACAACAAAATGCTATAATTTTTAATATTTTCATGTTTATTACATTTATAACTAAAATACTTATTATTCATAAAAATAATTTATATACTAAAAAAAATCTTCTTAGTTCATTTGTACTTAAAAAACAATTCAATGTCTATATTTATACCATACTAAAATGTATCTTAAAATCTAAAACATTTTTTTAACTAAATCATCATTATAAATAATATGTTTGATAAGTACGTTGGATTAAGTTTGATTAAGTCTAATATAAAAACTCCTGTCAAAGTATTAAATAAATATTATTAAATAAATAAAATTTTGAAAGAAGGAGAGATAAATTTTATTAATAATTACAATTAAGTATATGGATAAATATCAATTAGGTAAGAGTTGAAATTAGTAAAATTCGAACTTTCCCAAATTTAATAATGTCATTATATTCTAACTAAAATAAATAAAATAAATATAGAAACTTTTTAAATTAAAACATTAAATAATAAATATACCAAATATATTACACAAAAATAGGAAAGAAAAATAAAGGGAGTGAGGGAGTGAATGAGTAATAACTTTATGTACCTTAATATGTTAATTAATTTAAAAATTAACGAAATTAAAGTAATAGGTAGATGGAAATATATTTACACAAATATAGAAATATTTAAATATTTACTACTTACTATTTTTATGCTAGCGTGAATAGTAATCCTAATTCCTAGTGCGAGACGAGATATTACGTGATCTATAAAATATCGCGAGAAAGTGGGAAAGCTCAAAAACTTTCTCGCCGGTCCTCCCTCGTTTTCCATTCTTCTCAAAAACCAGAAGAAGGCATTTACAGTACAATAAGCTGCACGCTGAACCCACCCCCCTCTCTCTCTCTCTCTCTCTCTAACAAACAACTGCAAACCGCCCCTGCTCCCCTCTCTCTCCATCCCTAACCGACAACAGAAAGCCAGGCCCTCTCTCTTCCACCTGTTCTCTCTCAAGATTCTCTTCCCTGTCCAGCCGTCTGCTTGTTGCCTCTCCATGAGGGCTTGGCTTCAGCAGAAAAAGGAAAAATTGGTAGTTTGATGGCAAGTACATGAGGAAGACGAAGACTGCAGGGGAGGTTGCTCTTATGGAGGTGGCCCAGTCCTCTCTGGGTGTACGGACCCGTGCCAAAACCCTAGCTCTGCAGCGACTGCAGAATTCGGCGGCGACGGCGGCTTCGTCCAGCGGTGGTTCATACCTTCAGCTTCGAAGCCGGAGACTCGAGAAACCCCCAATTGTTGTTCCCAGCGATTCGAAGAGGCCGAAGCAGCCACCGAAGGAATCTTCCATGCGAAACCCTAAACCTAACCCTAATTCGAGAACAAGCTCGAGGTTGAGGGTGGGGCTGCGAATTCTGGGACTGCTGGGCCCGTCTCGCTCGATTGTTTGGAAAAAGAGGGGATTCATTTGGAGACGGAAAAAATTGGGGGCAGAGAGGATGAGAAACAGGAGAAGGACGACGTCGTTGAAGCTTCTTTTGGAGAAAATGTGTTGGAATTTGAAGGTAGAGAGAGGTGGGTTTTGTTTTTCCCTTTTATTGGTTTTCTTGATTATTTGAAGCATTAATATTTGATGGAAGTCCACTCTCGTCTCCTTTTTACTTTTTAATGAGATAGACCCCTTTTTGGCCCTTTTGATGGCTTAGAAAATATGGGAAAAAAAATCAAGGTTTTTGGTCATGTTTTCTGGAGAAATTTTTGGTGGGCGGAAATGAACTTTCCCGGATATGTCTTTCTATATATTAACGGTTTTAGCGCGCGATGTTGCTAACTTTGTTTTTCTCCACGGTCTGTTTGGTTTCGAAAATAAAAGACTGCTTAAATTTAACGGTGCTTCCTAATGTCGAAGGTCAGGAACAACATTTGCTGGTCTAGAGGGCGAGTTACATTTTTTTAATTATTTTTTATACTTTGGTTTGACGCTAGTCTTTTGCTTTATCAGTAGATCTTAAATTTGGCAGCCCCATTCATTCACTATTTGGTTTTCCAAGTGTGTTTTGATTCCTGATGGTTTTCATTGTTTCGAAGTTCGTCTAAAGATATGGGTACCTAATGCCGTATGCTGCTCTTTTGTTCTTATGTTTGGAGGTTCCATTATTCACAAGTGAGGGCCAAATTTGGCCTCTGAGATGTTGGACAGAGATACCGTGGCCATTCAACATAGAAAATTGGAAGACTTATTAAAATTTTCTCTGAGTATCTTCTACGTATTTCTACATTTAGCGTGAGAGATATTGAAAAGGTTGTTCATGGCTCTTCTTCGAAATGTCTATTCTTGGAGCTAGTGATTTTAATTTATTGGAGTTGAAATGTCTCAAGGTTAGCCATTAGAGATTTTAATATCTTCTCCTTACCTCTGGCATGGCTTGATGTCACTGAAAAGGGAGCTGTTGTTGGAGAAAAGAGGAACAGCAAAATCAAAAGAAAATATTACTTGAATAAATTTTCACCCTTGATTTTGTCTTTTTCTATTATTTTTCTGTTTCTATTTTTTTAAAATTATTTTCTGGAGGGAGGGAGATACCTTTCTTTATTCGTTTTTTTTTTTTTTTTGCATCACCACTTTTCTTTTTTCTCGTGCATAATGTGTTAGTTCTCTTTTCTTTGATAGCTTTATTGCTAATATGCTGTGGGTGGGTAAATGTAGGTAAGACTTTTAATTTTAAACTTTACATTTTCACCATTTTCATAGGTATTTACTTTTATTTTAATTGTTTAGCACTATTCCGAAGTACATGGAATTGTCATGGATTGGTATGCTTAGGGAAGTTGTAGCTTAACAGAGGAATTCTGATATATCAATGTAAGGAGCTATCCACATTATAATTCATCATTGCCTCTATAGTATTCTATGTTGTTGAATAGATTTGCTTTTCATTATTGAATTAAAAATGCACTTGGATGTTAAAATTTTGTATTTCTTTTTCTTCATCTGCTTCCATTGCTCTCTTTATTAAATTTTGGTGGTTCACCAAATTATGCCTTTTCTTAGGATGAAGCAGTTTGTTCCATAGATAGGATTTTAACTGTCAGGTCTCAGTTTCAAGCACTACTGTTTGCTAGGCAGTTTTATCTGTAATCATCTATTAGAGTGTCTGATTTTATTATGTTTTAAATTGTTTCTAGAACATTGTTTATTTTATTAGTTGTTATTTGATTATTATACGCCTGACAATATATTCAAGTAACTAAATATTTGTGACTCCAGGAGGATGTTTGTTGTTCTTATCTTAATATAATCAAATAGAACCTTCCTATGAGTTTCTTTATTACCATTTATCGTACTTTTCAATTATTTTAATAGTGCTGGTGGTATGTGATATTGTTTGATTTGTTTCACACGCTGGAAGGTAGTCAATTCTGGTTAGTGGTTGGAAAAACAGGTTAGCTGAAAGTTGTTGTTATCCAGGAGAAACTATTCTAAATTTTGAGTGTTGTTTTTCAAGAGTAGGGGATTACTCTATATAGGGACCAATTCCTGATCTTCCTGTGGTCCCTTGGTATGATGATCTTTCTGTATAAAAGGGCAAATGATTGGAAACTTGTGCTAATGCTTCAGAACAGGTATATGGACGTATTCTGTACATGTGCTGGGAATCTATAGTCCATACATTTGTATTTCAAATTTGAAAAATGCTTCTGGAGGAATCTAGTGGAATCATTCTGCCTTAGAAAAGTATTATTGGTGATAGCATAAATATTGGTGGGGCCATATTTCTTATTTAAGTTTTGCGTGGGGTGCTCTGCATAATTGAAGAGTGGATCAGAGATGAAACATGATGTGAAAGCTTCTGATGAAATAACTACCGAAGTTATCTTTTGAATTTTTTAAGATACCTTTGAGATGTTTATTGGCCACGAATTTCTTAGTGTTAATATGGTTGCCTGAAGTTACCATCAGGCATCATCGTGGAGGAGACTGGTCGTTGGTTACAATGATTATGTTGCATGATGCTGGGGGGCTACTTGTTTGGTCATTTTCATTTTCTTGTAAATGAAAATGTGTTCTCTCTGACAGGGACACCAGGGAAAGCACTCCTTGCAGTTTGATAAGAGATCCAGAGAATGTCAGGACCCCTGGTTCTACTACTCGGCCCACCACCTCCTCTGAAGTCAACAGGAGAATGCAAAATTCCTCACAAAGACAAATCCCATCAACAAATGAAATGGATGAGTTCTTTGGTGGTGCAGAAGAACAGCAGCGAAGCGAATTTATTGAGAAGTACATTTCATTTGATTTCATCGTGTGTTTTCAAGCCCTCATATTTATATATGTGATCCAGTTGTTTATGTTCCCTATATGGAATTATTTTGCAGGTATAACTTTGATCCAGTGAATGATAAGCCCCTCCCAGGGCGTTATGAATGGGTGAAGGTGGATCCATAGGTGTTAAAGAGTTACATGGAAGGCTTATTTCCTGCAAATTATCAGTTAGCATAGCTTAGTTGAAAAAGTAGTTGCAGGAATATTTTTAGTTTTTAAGGTGATGGTGGTAAATTCCATTTTCCATCACTTTCTTTTAATTGTAAAGAAAGTAGAGCTAAAAAGTGTAGACTTAATGATCTGTAACATAACAAGGCTTGTGAGTAGAACAACAAATAGAACAAGCTCCTTTATCTAGCAGATCATCTTAGAAGGGGAGAGAAACAGGGAAGTCCAGGAAATTAGGTCAGATTTAGCTGGTACAGAAATTTACTTAGGTTTTTGTTGTTAGGATTGTATCCTGTATTTGCTTCCCCTTTTGTTGTCTATACTTGTACTGAAGATGAAACTCTTTGGAATAAACTTTTAACCCAATTCCCTTTATGCGTGCCGTATTTGTCTTTGTACCCGTCATCTTTTAGGTCATATCAAATGTTGCACCTCTCAACTACATCTTTGCTATTCATTCTCATGGTAATATGATGCACCGGCCAGAAAGATTTGATCAACTGGATTTTATGTTTCTGCCGGTAATAGTGGTATGTAAAAAATAGGGGAAAAAATTAAATTACACTTCTGGTGTCCTTGTGCATTTAATACTAGGTTAGGTTTTTGGGCAGGAGCCTCAATTTTGGCACACAAAAATCTTGATTTTTACGCCTGTCTTGTAAAAGCCTATATAATTTCTTGATTAAAATAAAATGAAAATTTGTAAAGAAATTGGGGTTAATGAGTTTAATTGGAGAGGAAATTAAGAATTTTTGAAATCTAAATAATTAGCTGTTGAAATCTTAGGTAAATACGTTAGGTTGAAAATTTTCTCGAAATGTAGGGCCTGTTTAGTTTGCAAAAATGTTTTTTAATTTTCTTTTCTATTTTTATTTTTAAATTTTTAAATTTTAGAAAACTTGTTTTGTTTGGCTTTTTATTTTTTGTTTTTTTAAAAAATGAAAATATGAAAAATATGTTTAGTTTATCAATTTTTAGTAGATTAGAAATAAGTTTTCAATTGAATAAAATCAAAATTTAAGATTTTTTTAATAGGGATGTGAGCAAAAAAAATTAGAAGGTTTGGAAATAGAATTGACATTTAAAGGATTAAGGAGTTTGATTGAATAATGGTGTAAGACATGAGGGACCAAAGCACAAATTAATTTGCATTTCATCCTTGTCGCTTGACGCCTGAGTTGCCCAAAGTAGAGGCTTGCATTTGGCCATTATTGCCAGACACATCACTGTCGGTGTGTCCGATAGCAATGGCCAATTGCAAAGCCTTTGCTTTGCACAGCTAGGAATTGAGGCACGAGCAACGGTGACTGTTCATCCCTCTTTCGAATGATTTTTCAGTGCTGATTGATCATTTATCCTTTTCTTCGTCTCTCTTGATTTCTTATGGATCGCACCTTACGAGAGTATCGCTGGTTAAGAATGGTAGAAGTTGTGAGATTAAACCTTGTCAACCATAAAAAGGAGGTTTGCAGTCGCATAAGAGCCTCGTTGACCTTGAAAAAGCCCTTTCTAATTACAGGAAAAGATCACGGTTGTTTGTATCACTCGGTGATAAGTATAAGTGGCTGGTGAGCATTAGAGATGAGGCTAAAGATGAGCTTCAACCATCAATGAAGCGAAAGATAAACAGTAGTCCATGAAGAAGAAGAATAAAAAATAAATTACAATTCACTTAATTATAATTATACTATCATGTTTTCAGTTTAAGTAAAAAATGCTGAAAATAACTTTTTGTTATTTTCAACTTTTAGCTTATTTTAAAAATTGTTTTCAAAAAATAAAAATAGAAAATAATTGACTAAATGCATTGTTAGTACCATTTTCTATTTTTGCAGAAAATAAAAATAGAAAATTGACAAACCAATCAGGCCTGATAAGAACAAATAGAAAAGCAGGGATCAGGGACGTACCCGAAATAGTTGTGTATTATGACCCTCTGGTCGAAATGCAATTCTCTGATTGGCCATACACCTGACAAACCTCTTTTATTCCAATTTAATTCTAAATTCCAAGGGTCTATGGCCTGTTCATTGCCATGCGGGTGGAAAAAGGAAAAGCCAAGATGCCAAGGCGATTGAGACAAACCACCAATAATGAAAAGAGGTGAAGGTGAAGCTAGCTATACCATAATATATTGCCAAAAAGAAAAGCTAGCTGTGGAGTGACCTAATTATTCTATAATAGTTTAGACTTGAGGAAATAAAGGTGGTTGTGGTGGTGGGTGGGCCAACCCAGGGTTAGGTAGGTAATTTAGGTGCTAAATTATGACTTAGAAGAAGATGTTGAAGACTCTTTTTAGGGTTCCAATGTGAGAATGTGTTTTTCAACATTAATACACGGGAGTCATTCATTGTTTGTCTTTCCTTTCTATTGACTGTTTTGTTTGACAATGTGGGCAGCATTTTTAAATGTGTGACGCGTGGCACATTTGTCTCACGTAATTATTACAGGGCACACAACCAAAAGTGTTGCCTCAACGACAACACTCAATATCAAATAGATTCTAATAATTTTATAGAACATGTTGTCCCTTTCACACTTGGGCCCATTTTTGACTATTTTGTTTGTTATTCCTTTTTTATTTGTTAGCATTATTGTTTATTTGATTTACACTCTCATTTGTAAATATATAGCAAAAGAATTGACTAATAAAGATGTCACACCTCGAACCTTAGACTCGTGACCGGTACTAGGGTCCACTGACCCTAGTAAACCTCACTACACCAGTCAAATTCTGAAGGTACAAAATATATACAAAAAGAACATATACAAAAACAGTGCCCGTACATCTATCAAATCCTCTGACAGTTACTCCGAAAATTAGCACGTTACTCGAGATAAGGACAACAACCTAAATTTAGAAAGTTTAAAACTATGAGTCGCGAAACTCAGTGAGTACGGATGATACTTAATCTATGCATATCAAGATATACATCATGTCACAAGTCCAAAACCACACGCATACAGTGATCTGTAAAATATAACAACATATACTTAAGAATACCATCAACCAAATATCAAATCATATCACTAGACTCAGTCCTACCCACTACTAGACGTTACGGATCACCACACTCTAGCCGAGTTCCTGCCATCACATCACAAACTCAAACCGATTCACCACTAGACGCTACAGATTACCGTACTCTAGCCGAATTCCTACCGTCCCCAAATTGCATCACGGACTCAGGCTGACTCATCACTGGATGCTACGGATCACCGTACTCCAGCCGACTTCCTACCGTTCCTAAATCACAGCACACCACACGATACCATCCCTATATCCAAGTTAAAAACAAGTATACATACACATATACAGTTTACATCTCAAAAACCAATATCGCATACTAACTTAGATCACCGATAATTCATAAAATACATAACACACATCCCAAGTATAACATATAATCACAATACATTTTCCAAATCACATAGTCATCATGTAAGAAAACCACAATATGAAAACACAGGCATAGAGAGGGTATCATCACTCACAATACAAGCGCTGAACAAAAAGGAACTCCCGATCACCCTCACTCGATCTGCTAACCAGGACACGCCTGCACTAGTGTATCTGTAATAAAAAAAAATACACAAAATCATCACCAACATCGAAACTGGCACAAGAAACAAGTTCGATAGCCTCAAACCGGACTCAAATCCCAATCTGACCCCTTAGCACGCATCTCGAGGTAACATGACCCATCACTGACCCACGTGACTCACAACTCTCAACACTTCGGCTCAACAACCCTCAACAATAAAGAAACCGATCTCCAAAATCCTCAAAACATAGTGAATCGGCTTCCAAAACTCCCGAACTAGCTTAACCCGATTCAAAACTGCCTCCAACTCAACTCAAATGGCCACGAAACCCTCAAAATCGGATTTAGAAGGCCCAAAAATCCTAGGAATCAGTCTATCCCTACTAAGAAGGCCTTGAACCAGTCCTGAACTGGTCAAAAACTTTAACTCTAAGCACCGATACACGAACAAAGCCAGTTCATCTTGAACCGGATATCCAAAAATCATCAAACTACACGATTAACTAGGTCTCATTATGTTGAACCAGGAACCAGTTCAACCTCCCCAAGAATCGGCTTAAAAACTAGTGAACCGGTTGCCCGAAAGGAACCACACTAAACCGGTCAGTTCACCTCGAACCAGCCACCCAAAATTTCCCGAACTCACTTGGTTTGATAGCCCTCATCCCCCCGAACTCAGAACTAGTCTAATTTCCCAAATCTGAGTCAATTTGGCCATTGAACCGGCCGGTCAAAGCCACTGGCATGTTTAGTCAAACCCTTTTTTTTTTCAAGAGCCGGCTTAGCTCGAGCTACCAGCCTAACGGCTCAGGGCTCAGCTCGAGCCGCCAGCCTAGTGGCTCAGGCCTAGCCCAAGCCCAAACCATCCTCCTTTTCTTTTTTTTTGTGTGGGCTGGCCCGCCAAGCCCATCTAGGACTGGGCCCAACTAGCCCAATCCGGCCAAACCCCTTTGGCTCAGGTCGGACCCAACCCAAGCCCAGCTTGCCTGAACCTGGATTCTCATCCGGGTTCATCCCTGTGGCCCAAAAAAACAGCCTGAATTCCCATCCGGGTTTGCAACAGACCTGGAAGCTCCAAACTTGAAGAAAACGGTAAAAATAACACTTACCTCAATCAAATGACCTCCCGAAATTACAGAGTTGAACCCGGCGAACCTCAACAGACCATTTAATCGAATTAAATCGAGCCGAAGCACACCAAAAATCTGAGATTCTTCCTTCCATGACGCACGGACTAGGCGACTGGTTTCCCTCAATTTTCTCTCAAAATCCAACTCAATCCTTGAAATTGATTGAGGGAAAAGGTGCACCTGAACCAAACGAACGTAAATACAGGAGAAGATCGAGCCACAACCACTCCAAATCATCATGGTGTGGGATTTTCAGTCCGATTTACTGTTCATGACAGAA